TAAGATGATAACAAAGAGTCTAAATTTAGTTTCCTATTACTGTCGATGAGATAGTTTATATTTATATCACCACAAATTATAAATTCAACTTTTGAACTATGCAGTACATTTAGGATGGTTTCTAATCTATTTATAAAGTGATTGAAGTTTCCAGATGGGGCTCTATATAAAGTCAGTATACAAATATTTGAAAAAGGAGAGTCTAACTTTAGAGCACATGCTTCCAGATCCTGGTCTTTGCAATAATCTTCTAAATTTATTTTAGTAAATTTTAGGTTTTCGTGTATAAAAATACTCACTCCTCCTTTCTCCAGTGTTTTCCTACAGTATCTAGCACCTAAATTATAATTTTCTAAGTGAAGATGTTCTAATTCCAGCTGTTTCATGTGATGTTCAGTAAGGCACAGTATGTGTGGAAGATTTGAATTCATGGAATGAATGTTATTAAGAGAATGATCTTAAAATATTTCTCACTGAATGTGTTAACATGGGATGGAATGAGTCAGCGTAATATGGACAATAAAAATAGCCCTCTTTGGATGTTTCTATGTTTTGTGTTCACAGAAAATTGTTGACAGCATAGGTTTGATTTCCACTGGTAACAAACAGTTTGTTGACGTTCGCTTCAGTTCCTCCTGTATCAGTGACAATTGGAAAGAAACGAGTACATGTGATGGGCTTCGTCCAGGAAACCAGGTTGAATTTATGGCAACAATTAAGGTCAGCAGAGTGTTCATTTTCTATTCTGCATCTGAATAAGGACTTCTTCATTATTTATATCAGGGCTTAACTTTGTATGTGAAATAAATATGAATATTTTTAGACGATTGTTGAACACAATACTTTAAGGAAGGTCTTACTAATATGATAATGTAACTAACAATTCATGACCAGAGCAACTGAAGCTCTCTTGTGACCCAGCTAAATGAAATCTGCAGTGCTGGCATATATACTGTAATCCTATACAAGCTGTATGCATTTTCCATACTATTGAAGTAAGGTTAAAAAAAGTAAAGTAGTCCTTGTGTTTAACTAATGAAGCATTATGCCATGATGATTTATGTGATGTACTTTACAATTGTTACTGAACAGGTTGGTTTAGAGGAAATGCTCTAGATTTTCATTTGCAAGGTGGTCAGTTTTGATCTTGATTGGAACACTAGCTACCCTGACCAAGGTTTTTGTGGTTTTCCTGAGTCCCACCAGGCAGTTGCCAGGATAGTACCTTGAATAACTGATGGGAATATGTTAATGTGGTTTCTGTTGGAAACTACATTTTTCTAGGATTTGAGTAATTTACAGTTATATTATAGTTATAATCCAATATGGCGGATTATACAATGGGCAATGCTGATGAGACTCCAGTTTTCATCAATAATAGTAGTGAAACAAGTGAAGTAACATGTGACTGTCATAAATTTAAACTAGAACCACAAAACACCACAACAGAACTCAGATCAGCACTAGAAATTTTTGAGCTGCTACGAGACGAGATAAACACGCCAAATCGGACTGTAGGTGCAGACGCATATTACTTGCATCACAACAAGGATTGTACACAGTTGGAACCCCCAAAAAGGGACCTGGGTTCATGTGCCCTCAACGTGTCGGAAAAGAGACAGTAAGCCAGAACCACACTACACTCGTCCAATACCTACACTTGAAAACCGCTATGAGCTACTAAATAACCTCAACCAGCCCAAGAATACAACACGATATCAAAGACCGGAAGTTAAGACGGAGACTGAAGACAGGAAATTCAAGACCAAGGCGGGAATAAAACTAAGTTCTCATCATAAGTGATAGCTATGTATCATGTATGTATTTATTTCGTCTCTATAGATCATTGTTACACGATATAGGACAAGTCAGTTACTGTACATTGGCTGATTACAATAAGAGAATAAAGTTACAGTACTTAAAATTGTTTACAGTAGATTACAATAGTTAAGATTTCACATAGTGTGAGGTAGAATCCATATTAGGTCCCCTCGGCACGTCGGCTTCCATATGTCCTATTGTACCTGTACTGGTGAGGAGAGGATGTGTGGCAGCAGTTTCTCCTAACGTTGATGAAAACTTATAAGTCACAGGCCTTGTGATGCCAGGCTCAGGACTAAAATCTGTTGCACTTCTAATGTGAAGAAAGAAACTGCAACGCTATCTAGGGATATAATTATGGTATGGTGTGATACAAACGACGTAGGCAAAAATGAATCATCTAAGGGTCCCTCACACATCTCCAGCTTTTGTGGAAAACAGAGGACACAAATATTGTAATAATGAATGCACCCCACAGACATGATCAAGACACAACATCCAGCATAAACAATGAAGTAAAAGTGTTTAACAGGAAATTACCCAAGTAAATGAAAACGTGTGACTATTCAAAAGTAATAGAGACAGACTTAAGTAGAGAACAATTTGCCCAGCATGGACTACATGTGAATAGACTTGGAAAAGAACTCGTATCCAAAACTGTATCACAGAACATAAAATCAATCCTTATGAGACAACAGCCACCCCCATCAGCTTGAAATGGAAAGAAGATGCCACAGATCTCAGCCCAGTTGAGAACACATTAGACAGGAAAACGGATGATGAATTAGAGCAAAAAGGAAACAAAGCCCGGACATCTGGCGGACTACTCAAGAGTTCGAATATTGTCTGGACAGTCTGGACCGGTCTCCGTGCTACCAAGGGAGTGCTACTGAGGTCAGTAAGCAAATTTCAGAGTTTCACTATGATCTGCCGCAAATTGCACATGGCTAGCTCAATTTCTTTGCACGCCACAATTTTTCAAAACCCCGAAAACTTTGTGGACACACTGTACAATACTGAATATATAGTTATAATTGTTATTGAGAACTGCATATTTATCCTGTGAAATTGTTTGAAGGCTGTTAACCTAGAAAGTGGCCGCCAGTTAAAGGAATGCACAACAACGTTGTTTAGGCTGATAAAAGGGTTAATTATGAGTAAAATAAATTCTAGAGAAATAGGGCATGAAGGTGGACACAGGTTTCAGCTGGCTTAGGATAGATTCCAGAGGCAGTATCTTGCAAAGATGGTGGTTAACCTGCACTTTCCATTAAAGCGGGTAATATCATTATTGCCTGAGTAACTACATCAGTTATTCAAGGAAACCTCTGTTTGTGGCATTTGTCATTAAGTACTTAGTGTAATACATGTATAGTCAATAAGACTTTTGTATTTGTACAGAATGTGAGTATATTTTGTACTTGTATGATAGGATATATATTTCAAAGTAATTGTTTTGTTGAGAGTTCTATCTTGTGGGGGATCATGCCATGTAATCTGTTGAAAGTCAACCAATTTGTCAGAGGAACATGATACCTCCATGTTCAGGGTTGAAGAACAAGCTAAGCAAGAAACTACCATGAAAGCTGGTGGCAAGCAGATCTCTGAAGACGGAGGTGACATGTTCTTCTGAAATGTTGATTTTCTTTCAACAGACTACATGGTGTTAAATCCCAAAAAAAAACAGAACTCTTCATAACTACTGCTGTGAGAACTTCAAATGTTATGATCATTTTGTTGTTTAGGTGCTGCAGTGTCCAGATAATGGGAGGATGCTGACATTTCAGATAAAGCCTAGAGCATTAGAAGACAGCATTACAGTGGAAGTAGAAGTTGATTGTAATTGTTCATGTGAGCAGCCTGGAAGTGAGGTAAATAGTAAATAAAGCTTGAGTTATGTTGCTAGCAACTACATGTGAATACGCTTCTGTCTAATCCCTTTGAAGCCACTTTGATGGAATGTGGATGAGGCAAGTTACTAGTAGAGGGATTCAATTCAATTCATTTATTTCATCCATAGCTGTAGAAATTACAATTGGACATGTCAGATAACAACAACATTACATCAAGCATAACATTCAAAGTACATGAATATAGAATAATAAATAATAAATACCTAAGACTAGAGAAAATATTTAAAACATATATACAGATTGTTTACAACATACAAACAGACTATTTAAAACATATTCCTGTACACATAAATAATTTATCTAAAACAGATTTATTTGTCAGCAAGCAGTCCATATTAACAGTTGTTAAAAAATTCCTGAAGAGAATAAAAGACATTACACAACAAATAATTTTTTAGCTTCTTTTTAAAAACATTAAAATTATTTACACTTTTTAGTTCAGTCGGTAGGCCATTAAATATTTTGGTTCCCATACCAATCACCCCTCTTTTGCAGCGCCCAGTATTGCAAAATTGAACATACAGATTGTGTTTATGAATAGTATTATAGCCATGTACGTCAGAATACTGGGTAGTATATATCCTATTTTTTATTATAAAACATAAAATCTCAAATATATATAAGGAAGTAACTGTTAGAATCTTAAATTCTCGAAACAAATTTCTACAGGAGACTCTATTTCTTACACCTTTAACCACCCTTAAACATTTTTTCTGTAGTTTAAATAGAGTTTCAGAGTCCTTTTTCACCCCACCCCAAAAAATAATACCNTACTCGGAGAAAACCTGCCCCAGTGCCACTTTGTCCATCACAAATCCCACTGGACCAGACCGCCTCGGTGGGAAGCCAGCGACTAACCGCTTAAGCTGTGGCACGGCCTTAGAGATAATATTGTCTGGTATGTTGCTTCACTGTAGTTTATGGTCCTGGTCTCTGTAGTGCTGGTGAAGCTTCTTGAAGTCTGCATATCTCCAGAGTAGCCTGTTCCGGTAAATCTCCACTGTGTTAGCTTGGTTGCTGGAAAAGGGAAAAGAAAACTGCGCAGTAGCGATTCCAAAACCAATTATTCATTACTTATGTGATTATAATTGATTAGAGCTAGTGCTTGCCCCATACAAGAGAAACTCATCCACTTTGTAGAAGCAATGATTAAGTAGGTAAGTTTTCAAAGCACTTCTGAACTTGAATAGTACTGGTATCTCTTTAATATGTAGTGGTAAATGATTTAGCAGTCGAATTCCTACGTTGTTAAAGTTGTTCTTGTATAGACTTGTATTACATGGGACGATGTGTAAGTCGTCTTTTTTCCTTGTATTGTATGAGTGTAATCCTGAGTTGGTTGTGAAATCATTTAATTCTTTCTTAATACAGATTGGCTCACAGAGTCCCGTAAAGATTTAATCAAATAAAGAGTCTTGCTAAGTTTTTTACAAACATATTGGGTGTGGGTTGCCCAACTTAAATCCTCAGTAATACAAATACCCAGAAATACCCTTGATCGGGGAAAGCCTGTCTTGGGGAGTCTCATGCTGGGTATTGCTTCAGAAACATGAATCCAGGCTCAACTTGATATTTGTGTGGCAAAATGTTGCAAGTCAAATGTGCGACATGTCCTAATACAGAAAAGAAAAATTGTATACACACAACAATGATTAAAAATTTGAACATAAAATTAAAAAATATATACAGGGATAAACATTTTAAAAAGAAAATATGCAGCACAAATCCAGATCTTCAGAAATATTATGCATATTCATAAAACAGGCAAAGTATGCATTTATATGCACCAACAAACCATGTCTAAAATTTAAGAAATGAAGTAATTCATACATATATATCCAAATGATCATACTTCTTGGTTGCAAGAAAAATATACATTTGCATTAAAATCCGGTCCTTAGTGATGACACTATAGTAAACTGTAGCCATCAGTCGTATGTTAAAATGGTCAATAAATACAATCTCAAGTCCATATCCTCTCTACAGCCACTCCTTTTCGTGACAGTATATAGTGCTGAATAAGATGGGAAGATAATCAACAAGTTAAAGATTTGGAAACTGGTAGTCACAACCTATTTGTATTGTATTGTATTGTATTGTACTGTATTTATTGTAAGTTCAAGAGATCCAGAGATTGATATATAACATGTCATAAAATAATATAGAGCATAGAATACATACATAGATATTACACAAGTAGACAGTACAGACAGATCTTCTATTAATGAAACTGTAGTACTATGGAGTGCAGGGTGTATTATTGCAATGGTTCAAATCTTACCTCCAGTGGAATTAAATTATATAAATAATAAATATTATTCCAACTGGGAAATTGTTGGATGTGGTGTGCCTCAGGGATCGGTGTTGGGACCCTTACTCCTTAATGTATACATAAACGATTTCCCCCTTGAAATAAGTAAAATTTTTGAAGTTATTATGTTTGCAGATGACACAAGTATTCTTTGCACAGCTAAAGACTACTATAATTTAAAAACAAAATTGGATGTTGTTTTCAATCATATATTTTCGTGGTTTCAAAATAACCAATTAGTGTTGAATCTGGATAAAACAAAAATGATAAAATTCACCCCAACAGCAGCT